AGTGGAGGTATTGGGAACCTTGGTCCTCTGTCCGGCTGGGCTATCCCCACCTTATTTCTAAGTCAATAATATGAGCTAAAAGCTTTTGCATGCAAAGGACCCAGCAGATACAAAAGGCTCATTTGTATCCCAGAATCCTGAGATAATATTTGAGTCTAGTTCCAAGAGATTGGTTATTTTATTGTTACAGTTGTTGCTTTTGAGGGGGAGGGCAATAAAAAGAGGAGACTATCCCAGGGTATCAGGATATGGTGGAAGGAAGTCACTGTGGCACTGCACGTTAAGCCACTGCTTGGAATGCGCACATCCCCTATCCAAGGGCCCGTTCAAGTGTGTAGGCTCCAGCCACCCACTTTGGAGATCCAGATAGGATGGTGTGAGCTCCCGGCTCCATCCTAACAAATGCTGTGTCAGACACTGGGAGAGCGAACCAAGAACAGGACACAGTCTCCCCTTCTCTCAGCCTGTTTCCACTAGACATCAATGCATAGTTCTTCAAAGGATTTGATGGAGGTACACATATTATTATTATTTCTGCATTGAGCTTGTATTTCATTCTAATCCCTCCCTCACAGCTTTTTCTATTTCCTTTTTCTTTCTTTTGTTTATGTTTATGGAGGAAGGGAGTCCAGAAAGTCCATGGGCATACATTGAGTGTTGGAAAACATCATGAATTTCAAGGTTTTTGCACCATAACAAACCTTTTGATCCCATTTTCCTGTGACTTTGTAAAGTATCCTTGAGATAGCCTCAATGGAAAGAATTTTTTTAAAAGGTATTTTTTTTTGCAGTCCACAACTGTGATTTTAGTAAAAAGAGGGGTTCCATGGGACTAATCCTGGGCACAGAGTTTGTACCATGTGGATGATGGAGTTGATGACAGGGTGACAGCCAACTCTGGGCTTTTGTTGAGCTATGATTTGGCATAGGCGCCTGCCACAGTAGCAAAAGTCAAGGAGAATCCATCAATTGGATGTGTGCACAGGGGTTCCTGTTTCTTGTAGCTTTGAGCAGATGCTGATGTAAGACCCTATGCTTGTTGGGCAGTCCATGACACAGGTATACCCGAGAAGGAGCTAAGTCTAGCCAGGCAGGGATGGGAGTGACATCATTGAGGTCTGCAGACTGAGCCACTCTTGTCATTTCCTTTTCCTGCCTGCAGTGAGAAGTGCTCTGTTTCTGACTCTGCCCAACTATCCAGCATGGCCTCACCATCCTTATGTCCTTCTTGGCACTTGTCAAGCCATGAAGTGACCTCAGGGGACAGCTTGCGTTGGCAATGCCCTGCTCTCAGACAGCAACTGTGGTGTGAAGGCGTTAGAGGCGGATCCTCGTTGGGGAAGCAGGCCGTCCTAGGAAGGCTGGACACACAGAGTATGTCATATGCATATAGTCCAGTCAGTTTGCAGAAAGCTTCACATTGGGTTAAATGCAGCGAGAACCGTTGGGTACAACAGTAGTTGCAAGGGGATAGGGTATAGGTGATTGAAAAAATGTCCAGCTTGTTTTCAAGGGTCTCCACCCTAGCTGCGTGGCCAGCTGGTTGTCACAGTGGTTCCTGTGCTCGTGTTTTAAAGATTTCATTTGTATTGGAAAGGCGAAGTTACCTGAGAGAGGAAGAGATGCCTGGACATCTGCTAGGGTAGCAAAAGTCCAGGTGAATCCATAAAATTGCTCTGTGGACAGAGAGATCTTTATCCTCCAATGTCCATAATGGCTGAAGCTCAGTTGATCAGGAGCCAAGAGCTTCTTCCAGGTATCTCACATGGGTGCAAGGTCCCAAGGCTTTCGAGTCATTGCCTGCTGCCTTCCCGGGCATAGGCAGGGAGCTGGCTAGAAAGTGGAGCAGCCAGTGTTCTGTACACACAACACTTAGGTTTCATTACTAGGGAAAGACAGGGACACATAAGCCTTGGTTAAGATGACACGTTCCTTTTCAGTACATTTCTTGAAGCATCTCAGAAGGTGACAGTGGGGAGTCCCCGAGGCTTCTGGTGTATTCTGTGGGGGAAAAGGCAGCCTTTCTGAGAAAATCTGTTCTGAGGTTGGGTCAGAAGGGTACGGAGCAGAGTTCTTCCCCCAGCAGGGCTTGGCTTTCTGGCTGTTGCTTTGTCACTTCACGAGTCGTGTGGTTACAGGCAGCTGGCTGAGGGTGGGGAGGGGTTGTAAGTGGTCCCTGCTGGAGTCAGTGCCCTCCCCAGTCCACCACCTTCCACAAAATAGCCCTTGAGGAAAAGAAAGTGTGAAGTTATTATGTTGTTAGTTTAGTTGTGCCTCCTGGCTTCTTCTTCTTTTTAATTTATCTTACTTAAAATGATGCATCCTTTTTTTTTCATTGTAATAGTCAACCTTGTACCTATTGGAAAGATAGGGAGAGAAAAGAAAGTTTCCATCTGCTGGTTCACTCCTCCAAGATGTCTGCAGCAGCCAGGGCTGAGCCAGGAGCCAGGAACTCAACCCAGGTTTTCCATGTGTTTGATAGGAACCCAGGGAGTCGAGATGGGCAGCAGAGGCTGGCTCTCTGTCTCTAAGGGTACCCTTCCTGCCAGGCCAAATGCCCACTGTCCGTGTGCTGTTTAGTACCTGTATACAGGATGCATTGGTCAGCTAGGGTGGCTGACGTAGCCATCGTTGTACACATTCATCCACTCTGGTTGGGAAGACTCCAAATCACCCCCCACTAGTCCTTTAGGACTATAGTATTTGTTGATGGCTTGCACAGCTACCCTTCTGTGCCATCAAGCCTGGAGATGGCCTATCCCTGACCCCACTCCCCAGTTCACCTGTACCTGTTAGAGCCAGCCTCTCGCCAGCCCCATCTTCCCGCCTGGCCATGTCCCTTCCAGCCTCAGCTCACTACCCCTCTGCTCTGTGCCTCTTCTAGAAGACATCTTGTTTGGCACATACACAAGCAAGGACTTCAAAAAGTTGGTGGCAAAATGGAGTTAAAAGATCAGTCAATTTGGGCAGCAAAAGAATTTTGACATCTGTGCGTCCTTTCTCATGAAAGGGTGCCTGGGAAAGTGCTTGTTGGACAAAACGCTATGCATAGACTTTTTTTTTAATTTGCATCCGAGCTCATCTTTTAATGCTGTTTTTCCATGAACTGCTTGAAGGACTTCCCTGGGGTATTAGTGAATCTCGGAGTTTGAAGTCACCTGAAGTTTCTAAGGTGCAGCAAAGCAGAGGAGGCCATCTTGGGTGCAGACGGAGGCAGGCAGAGGCAGGGAGACTGCTGGGTAGAGGCAGGGTCTGGCCAAAGGCTGGGGCCGGCTCCTTGGTGAGCTGTTCCGTGCAGCTTTTCGAAGTGACCTCTGGACTACTAATTGGCTTTTTAGCCTCAGAGTCTCTCTGTGGCTTTGGAGCCTGCGGGATTGAGTTAAATTCAGCTCATTAGGTAATTGGCTGCCAAGTCCTTTGTGTAGAACAGCTATTCGTGCCAAAATGAAGCAGTGCCTGCCTTCAGGCAGCTTGGGAGAGGCCCATGGGGAAGGCCCGACCCTCTCCATCTTCAGGTGGTCCTCCAGTCAGTTTTTTACCCATGGCTTTTCTCCAAACTTCAAATGGATGACAAGACTCTCCTGGTACCCCGTCAGGACAATTGGACCATGTTTTCTGCCATCCTCACTCCCCACCAACCATCACCAGTATCAGAAATCATGCCATTCTAAATAAACCCCACTGGCGCCAGCCTCCCTCCTCTGTGTGTGTCTTGTGGTTCCCCCCCAACACCTTGCAGAGCCCCAGCATGGCTCTGGCCTATCTGGGAATCTGTAGAGGGTCCCACCAGTCGGTGAGTCTGTGCTGGTTTTCCTAATGAGGACATGCTTTGCTTTGTAGCCTGCCCCCCCCCTTGTTTATAAAATATGCCAAGGGAGCTAAACACCCCGCTGTTGTTCCCAGTACTTATTTACTTGCCCAAACCAAATGTTTACGTCCTTGAATACTAAACTTGAGGAAAAAGGGATTCCTCCGCGTGGGAAAGCTGGGAGCGCTGAGTCGTTTCTAAGCTGTCGCTTGAGGCCAGTTTTTCAGAAAACGCTCCGTTTACCACCCCCCCCCCACCCCCCTGGACTGAAGATGGGGGCGAGGGGACTATAGCTTCTTCCTTCTGGAACTGTCTTCCTGGGCTACTGCCCAGTCGCAGGTGCACCATTGTAAGCCCAGCTTGGTACAAAGGGGAAAAAAAATGTGGAGGGGACTGTAACCCTGGACCCCAGAGGTTGGCAAAGGGGGCAGAGAGAGACAAAGGCAGCCTCCTTGACTTGAGCCCTCTTCACTGATGCCCAGTGTGCCAGGCTTTGCCAGGCTGGTGCTGCATGGGGCTTCCCACAGCAGATGTAGACCCATAGGTGACTCAATGTGTATGTTTTCTGGGCATTAACCAGATGAGTGTTCTAGAACCAGATTCTGGGGGTTTCATTCATTTGGTTTCTCTCCAGTTGCAGTGAGAGAGTTTCTTTGTGCATGTTACTGGCATGACTTTTTTTTTTTTTTTTTACTCTTCTGGCAACCCCATGCTCAACATACTGGTGGCCACCTCTCCTTGTTTTTTTTTTTTTTTTTCCAACATTTCCTTGTTCCCTTTGCCACATTACTTAGAGGAGAGTGTAAATTGAAGCCATTTATCCTGCAGGGTGCCGCAGGAGCACACTGTTTATACAACTGAAAGAAATTGTAACGGGGTGACTGGGTCTGGGCTGCAGGAAGAAGCGACTCAGTGTCCCATTCCGCCTTTGCCTGCTGCGTGGTGGGTCTGTTAGGTCCCCGGCCACGCGTGCCCTTGGTTTGGGGGTGTGGCGGCCAGCGAACCCGGTGGTAGGCTTAGTGAGTCTTTGCCTCTCATCCAAGCAGACCTAGCTGTTAAGGAAGTGAGAGCCTCACTGCTCAGACTTTAGCCTTCATTGATTGCGTAATCCCGTCTCGGGGCAGCAGGCAGCAGAATGGGACTCGGTGGGGTGACTTCGCCCTTCTCATTGCCATCCATCCATGTTTGTCAGTTGGCGGCCGAGTAAGTCGTGAATTAAATTATACCCGCCAGAAGATTGGGGAAGAGGCCATGTTCAACCCTCAACTCATGATCCAGACGCCGAAAGAAGAAGGCGCTGATGTCCTGACCACAGAGGCGCTCCTTCAACACCTGGACTCGGCACTGCAGGCCAGCCGAGTCCACGTGTACATGTACAACAGGTAAGGCTGGCTGTGTCCACGTATCCTCTAGAACAAGAGGGAAGGATCGGGGAAGGCTTAGCAGCAGAGAGGGTTCCCAGCAGAGAGCAGGGCACTGAGGCAGGTGGGCAGGTTCTGGGGAGAGGGCTTGGACAAAGACAGTATCCTACCGTACCCACACCTTAGGAGGCCAATGAAATAGAATAGCCTGGAAGGAGTTTTTTGGTTTGGTTTGATTTGGTTTTTCTCCTTGTCTGGGGTTTCTCATCCCCACCCCCTTCCCAATTTCTTTTCCCCAGTTCTGGCCCTGATGCCTGTGAAAGATAAGATGACTTCCTCCCCCAGCCCCACTGCTTTTTCTTTCTTTCTTTTTTTTTTTTTTTAATCATACATTGCTGTCTGTTTCCATGATTCAAGGAATAGACGAGTTGATCCAATGGGAATTGGATCAGGCTGGCAAATGTTGTTTATTTGTGACTTAGAGCAAGAGAGAGTTGGTTTTGAATGCTACCAGTAAGAAAGCCCGTTATCTGCCAAGAAAGCAACCAGAAATGTTTGCCCACCTGAGACTATATCCTTGACGTTGTAAAGCTCCTTGATTTAGCCCTCCCCCCGCCCACAAACTCATTGGAATTTGTGATCATGTAACTGGCCTGCCCTGGAGTTGTTTAATGTATGTAGTAAAGCAGATGAATGGTGTAAACAAGATTATTGGGAGAACACTTAAAGAAACAAGACTTTTCAAGTACTTTGGTAGCATTCATTTACATAAACACCCTACATGTTAATTGCAATCGAGTATTATCTATTCATTAAAGCAAGCCCGCCCCACTCCCCCACTTGGCAAAAGCCCCGCTCGTTTTGACAGAGGCTTACAAGCGATCGAAATGGCAGTTCTTTCTCGCACGTAGGCGATTCTGCACCAAGTTTCTGTCCCCCACCACCCACCGTCTCTGCTCTTTGTTCCAACAGGCAGTGGAAGCTGGAGCATCTGTGTTACAAATCAGGGGAACTTATCACAGAAACGGGTTACATGGACCAGGTATGGTCTGGTTTGCACAAGTTGCTCAGCTTTTCAAAAACACACGCACGCAGTCTGTCGGCCTCACGCATGCTCCCATTCTCTCTCACAGATCATAGAGTACCTTTACCCATGCCTCATTATCACACCGTTGGATTGCTTCTGGGAAGGTGCGAAGCTCCAGTCCGGGACGGCGTACCTCCTGTAAGTCTGCACGGCTCCGGGACTCCAGTCTTCCCCGGGTTACTCACCATTGTTTATTCTGCTTCAATTGTGCATAGGGAATGGGGGTGGGGAGGGGAAAGCATTGAAGTTCCATGTGAATAGTGAGTAGGGAAAGGGGGATTTCAGCAGAATGTTTTTCCTCTTTTCAAAAAAAAAAAAAAGTTCTGTAGGCATCATTAAATTTCATTCACTTTTAGCAAGCCATTTATATGCAAATAAAATGCAAATCATGGTAGAATATGCGCGGTTTTTTTTTTTTTAACTCTTTAAAATGTTTGGGATTTCACAGACCCCAGGCAGCTTTCACTTACTTTGGAAGGGAGAGAATTGATCAGAACTAAATATTTCTTTGGACCACATGAGTGGCATTTTGGGGGAGAAATGCAGGTCTTAAAATGCTTCAGTATTTAGCAGTTGAATAGCAAATGGACAGCACCAGTTACAGAATGACGGTTAATCAGTGTGGACATTTTCAGTTAATTATGCAAGAGTTAGTGCTTGGGTTATTGTTCCTGTCTGGCCTTGCCCATCTCTGCCAAAGCAATTTGCAGTGGCCATCCCCTGACCCTCGGTGTACAGTTGTCGGTGGGAAATAAGGGCTTTTGTGTTTTCTGGTTGGGAGATTCTGAATAATGACTTCAGCTTGGTTAAGCAGCTACAGTGTGGTTTGAACCATATCACAGGCAGCCAAAAACCTTTCTGCTCTGTCAACAGCACAGATTCAAAAGTGAGCAGGGGATGGGGGAAAGCAGCCGTGACAGTGGCCGTGGTGGTAGTGGTGGCGGTGACAGAGGCCATCAGGAGTCCCCCACCCACACCCCATCGCCTGACTCGCCCAAGTGTGGGATCCTACAGGGACCAGACATGTTGATCAACAGAGCATCTGTTAGGCCACCAAGTGCTCATCTCACGTGGCAAGTCCCTGTTGTTTTTTGGTTTTAGAATTTTGGAAATCAGTATTCTAAGCAAGCACTTGGTGGCTCATTGTCACGTACCCCATCGCCTATATCAGTGAAAGACATGAGACCTTCCGTGAATTACCTTCCTGGCTGGAATTTGCACGCAGATGATGTTAGGAAAGGTCATTGACCCAGGACAACAGCCTTAACAGCAAAGCCACTGGCACTTCCTTGCTGTCCCCGATTGTGGTCTTAGGAGGTTCTTCTCACAGTCTGATTTCCTGCTTGCTCCCACAGAGGTAAACCTCCCCTGCGGTGGACAAATTTTGACCCCTTGGAGTTCCTGGACGAGTTAAAGAAAATCAACTACCAAGTGGACAGCTGGGAGGAGATGCTGAACAAGGCTGATGTCGGCCATGGCTACATGGACCGGCCCTGCCTCAATCCAGGAGACCCAGACTGCCCGGCCACAGCCCCCAACAAAAACTCCACCAAAGTGAGTATGGCGCCCCTGATACTTCCGAAGGAGTGGAGGGAGAACGCTGTGTGTTCGCTGCCATTTTTAGTTTTCTGTGATTTTTTTTTTTTTTCTGGTCTGTAGAACTAAGTTTGTTAATGGATCTAAATTTTGTTGCAAGATTCTGCCAGGCACCTCTCATTAGCTTTGTTGTCAATGTCCTCTGTGAAACCAACAAGCCCTTAGCGCCCGGGATTGTAGCAAGGCATGGGACCTGCCTGTTCATGCCTGCCGTGATGGGACTATCTTCTCACTGCAGCCTCTTGACATGGCCCTCGTGTTGAACGGTGGGTGTCACGGATTATCCAGGAAGTACATGCACTGGCAGGAAGAGTTGATTGTGGGTGGTACTGTCCGCAACAGCAGCGGGAACCTCGTCAGGTAAGCCGACACTCGTAGAGCCCAGCCCAGGCTGTCTCTTCCTCCCATCCACCGCCTTGCAGCCACCAACTAGCCCACAAAGCCATCCCCTCTCCCCACCAACCTGGACATCTCTGTACCTGCATTTGTATTCATACTTAACTCTTCATGCCAGCCAGCCGTCTCATGTCATCAGCTAAACATTGCAGGAGAGGGGTAGGTGTCAGGGGAGCCTCTTTAGGACATGTAGTTTTCATCAAGGCCGTAGCAACTGACTTCAGGGTTTCTAAAGAGCTGCTCGGCAGGTGGAGAAGAAATGGCGGGGGGGGAGTGCCAAGGGTAAGGTTGGCAGAGGCACCTGTCTTAAGAGAACAGAGTTTAAGGTGGGAGCTGTGCAGTGCCACACTGCATCCAAAGACCCAAGACCCCAAGGCTAAGCGCGAAGGATGTTTTGTGCCCTCTGGCCAGGCGAGTATGGAGCCTGCTGCCCCTGAGAGAGCTGTTGTCTGGGATGTCTGCACAGCCAGTATACACAGATGAGCTCCTCTGTGAGCTCCTCTGCCCTTCCTGTTTCGTGGAATAGAAACTGAGAAAGGAAATTGCCTATTAATTTAATTTGGGGTCTATCTGTAAAGGTTGGTAAGGTTACACCTTGAATATGGTACCTCCTTCTATTCAAATAAAATAAGCCAGCCCGGTCCCTGTGTGAATGGAAACGTGCATCACTGTGGCAGGCTGGCGGGTGGGGGAAACTCAGGCCAGTGTCCCCGGGAAAGCTGCTGCTGACGACAACCTGTGTCCTGCCCTCTGCCACCTGTCACAGCGCCCACGCACTGCAGACCATGTTCCAGTTGATGACGCCCAAACAGATGTATGAGCACTTCAAGGGTTATGAGTACGTGTCTCACATCAACTGGAACGAGGACAAGGCTGCGGCCATCCTGGAGGCTTGGCAGAGGACGTATGTGGAGGTAAGCCCACCTTGGCTGTGCATGGCCGTGGGGATGGCCTGAAACGTATTCAGGAGCCAGTCGTAAACTCAAAAGCAGACACACACACACACACTCTGTGAACAAGGAAAGGTGTCTGGAAAGCATTAGCAAAGCACCGTCTGTTCACAGCTGCGGTCCCTTGGTCAGGTCACGTGACAGCTGGCCTTTGTTCCCCAAACAGTGACCTTTGAAAAGTGGCTAGCAAGTGAGGATGGTGCCACGAGGGAGTGGGAGGGCGGCAGAGCGGCCTGTGAAGAATGAGTTGTTTGGGATTAGGGGTCGGGGTACTGCTGGGGCTGTGTGTCGGTCATGAAGTTGCACAGAGGAAAGCAGGGGATCTTAGACTTGGAGTGAGTCAACGGCTCTGAGCGAGGACCCCGATTGTCAGCCAGATGCATCATCCATCTCCAAGGGCTGTCTCGTGCTAGTGTCAAGTTCAGCCCCTCCATCCCACCTGAACCTCTCTCTCTGCAGGTGATGCTATGATAGATTTCAGAGACAGATAAGAGAAGGTCCCATCTCCTGTTTTGGTCCTCCAGGTGTCCATAGCTACAGGCAGGCCTGGGTGGGAGAGCAGAGCTGGGAGCTGAGACTGATGGATCCAGGGCTGTCACATAGGTGACAGGGAGCCCGCTGCCTCTTGGGGTCAGCACTGCAGAAGGCTGGAGTCAGGAGCCGGCGTGGCCGCTTTGTTCTGGGAGGTGGCATATGAACTGGCGTTTCAGCTGCTTAGGGTAGACTTTAAGGTCTAGAACTTTCTTAATGTATCATAAAGAAGGGGTGGGGGGAGGTGGGGAGCATGGGAGCCGAGCCATGTGTATTGTGACTGCAGGTGGTCCACCAGAGTGTGTCCGCCAACTCCACGCAGAAGGTACTGTCCTTCACCACCACCACCTTGGAAGATATCCTCAAGTCCTTCTCGGATGTCAGCGTCATCCGCGTGGCCAGCGGCTACCTGCTCATGGTAACCGTGCTGCTTGGGTTGGAGGAGGGTTCAGCTGGAGGTGCTGATTGGTTTTGTTTTACTTTTGTTCTTATTTTCAATGTTTATTTGCCTCCCCCTGCTTTTTAATTGCTCTTAACACACCCATGCACCCCAGACTCAGCGAGCTGGGCGGCTTCATGGCGGTTTAGGAAGTGGTCCCATTATAGAGCTCGAGTTTTATCCCATTTGTGATGGACAAAGCAGATCGCGTGGTAATGTCGCGTTCTGTGGTAGTCGGCTTTCCTGAGTCCTCCTCCGGATTGGGGCAACCGTGGCGGGGCATGGTGGTGTGGGGGAACTTTAGGATCATGCCCCGTTCTGATGTTTGGCTTGTTTTGTGTCTCCCACCCCCATCCCCACCATGGTCCTGCTTGCAGCTTGCCTATGCCTGTCTAACCATGCTACGCTGGGACTGCTCCAAGTCCCAGGGTGCCGTGGGGCTGGCTGGCGTCCTATTGGTGGCCCTGTCGGTGGCTGCAGGATTGGGTCTGTGCTCATTGATGGGGATTTCCTTTAACGCTGCGACAACTCAGGTATTCACCGAGCCATCTGTGCATCCCACGAAGGGTATCCCAACCTCCCCTACCAGGAGGCCAGTGGGCGGGAAGTCCAACGGGCTGGTTAGAGGATGCGCAACGGTCACTGGGACCTTGAACGCTGGTGGGTGTTGGCAGCACCTGCAGGGCAGGAGATGCCCAGGCTACTGGGCCCCTCCCCCAGGCTTCTGTCTGATGCTGGAGACCTGCATGGAAGCCCGTAGCTTGCATTTCTGCCCAGTTAGCTCCCAGTGGTATAAATCTAAGGGAAACACTCTTGAGAAACACATGACTGTCTCCTGCAAGTGAGATCCATTCTCAGAGATTGCCTTTCCAAAGCTTACTGTGTGGGCCCCTAGATGGGTCATGAGTTGGGGGCAGGCTGGGGTAAGGTGTCTGCCAGCATGAAGCCTCCACCACATCGCCTTTCTGTGAGCTTGCGCTTGCCCTGAGAGCAGCTCTCATCGCTGCCTTCCTGCTCGGCTCCAGGTGCTGCCATTCCTCGCCCTTGGTGTCGGCGTGGATGACGTCTTCCTCCTGGCCCATGCATTCAGTGAAACGGGTCAGAACAAGAGGATCCCTTTTGAGGTGAGGGTACAGACGGGAAAGCAAGCTTCGGGGGGTGGGAGGGTAGGTGGTACCTGAGCACTGGTCCATCTGGCCCCGCCCACAGCACATATCTCAAGATGGCCATTTGGGTGTCGATAGAGCCATGAGGGCTTGTCCAAGGGCTGCTTGCCATTTATCCAGACCATTGCCTAAGCCATGTTTGCTTCCTGCAAGGGGTCATCCTACCACGTGGCTCTGAGTGGGGAGGGGATGGCGCCTGACTGGCTGGGGGAGGGTTGCAGCGTGGTGGCTTGTCATTCCACAGGACAGAACCGGGGAGTGCCTCAAGCGCACAGGCGCCAGCGTGGCACTCACATCCATCAGCAACGTCACTGCCTTCTTCATGGCTGCGCTGATCCCAATTCCTGCCCTGCGAGCCTTCTCTCTGCAGGTGAGTGTTGCAGGCTAACATGGCTGCCTCATGCCAGTGGTACCCCAGTGTTCAGCATTCCTGAGTCTACCTGCTCCCCGTTTCCCTCTGCGTCCCAGGGGCATATGGAAGTGGAACAGGTGCCACTGGAGGCTGTATCTCTGACAGGTGTTCCTAAACGTTGTTTCTCTCTGTCCTCCTTTGGCCACCTCTTCCCAACCATGCCACCCTCTCACCTACCTTCCCCAAGTACCCCCAACCCAAAGTGGGTGGCCATGGTGAAGCAGGTGAAGTTGGATGCCACCCAGGCCAGGTAGCACTGTGGGAGCAGGTGTTGGCAACTCCCCCTACAGGGGTGTACCTGGGACAGGGGGCTCACTTGCACCTCCCTTTCCTTGGCCAGCCCCCACAGTCTCTCTCCTCTTTCTGGTTGCCTAAGCAAACTCCAGAGGTTTCCCAAGTATGCTCTCCTCTCCTTCCAGGCCAGGCCCCTGCACATCATACCCAGTGGCCATTAAGTTCTTTTTCTGAGCCAGCAGTCAGGTTGTCCTGGTGATAGGTACCATGGAGGTCTTGGAAGCAGTGGCAGCCCTAGTGCCGCTGTGCGTGCAGCCTTCAAATGACATGGCCATGTGACTGGCAGACGGACAGGGGCCTGGTCCCTCCGTGACAGGGTCCATGTGAGCCTAAGACAGTTGAGGACTTCGACGTCTCCCAGTATTCCCGACATGTGGTGAATGGATCCCTTCCCCAAAGGGAGACTAAAGGCACAGGTCTGCTTCTCTTCTCTCTCCCTCCCTCCGGATGCGACGTGCCAGGTCCTTAAAGGAAACCACCTGGGGTGCCCCTTGTGCTCAGTTCCCCGTCTTAGTCCAAGAATGACTCAGGATGGCAACCAGGGAGTCATGAATTGGGCTACTGTTTGTTCTTTAAGGCACATGTGCAGTCTCCTTCACTTTCAAATTTATCCTTGAAGAGTCAGGTGGATTTGAATGTCATTTCACAATGACCAATTGACTGTGTAACTCTATGTATGTGTGTGTGTGAGAGAGAGAGAGAAGCAGATAGAGGCTCCCTTGGCAATCAGTGTATGAGGAAACACATAAGACGTGTCCGTGAGCCGTCACCAGCCAAGAGGAAATATCCTGAAAACCAGGTTGATTTTTTTTTATTACAAATGTATGTAGAAGTGGAACTCATGAATCAAAGAGTAAATCTGAAACTGGCCCTAATCACAGGGACCATGGAAATAACTATCATGTGACTGCATGATGCTCTGGGAGATAAGGGGTCAGAGGTGCCGTCTGAGTTAGTGGTACAGCTAACATAATAGAGAGCCTTGTCAAAATGGTTTTGTCTAACTATTCGAGAGGATGAGTCACAGAGCACTTCCGTCTTTTGGTTCCCTCCCGACAAATGCGCACAGCAGCTTGAAACCAGGGTCTGCAGCCCAGAGGCTGGGGCCAGGTCTCCACCGTGGGCAGCCCAGTGCTTGAGTGCTTCCTTGAGCCTCCAGGGTCTACTCCAGCCAGAGTCTAGATGGTAAATGCAGGCATTGTGACATGCAGTGTGGGTTTCTGGCCAACACCTTTGATTCTTGTTCCATGACTCCCGACCTGAGAACTGGCCTTCAGGTCTCCTGTCAGCGGGGCCCTGTCTTCCTGGCTCTCTCTGCCTCACCCCTTCTTTTCTGAGCTCGACTTTTGGCCTCCCTGTCTTGGTCTGCTCTGTTCTGTATCTGCTCACATTCCTTCCTTTCTTCTCTCCTCTCTCCCTGTTCCCTCCTCTCCTCTCAGTCTGCACTGATGCTTCAGCAAGGCAGACCCGCCTTTCATGATATGCTATGGCGTGGTGCTCCTGCGTCTCCCTTGCGAGGAGTAGCCAGTACGCTAAGCTCTCCCAGGTAAGCACCTTGCCAGAGACGGCATCAGTACTGCTGACCATGCTTTTCTCTCCCAAGGCCCCAGAGGAGCACCGTGTGCCCCATGTGGGATGGCTTCCACCCATCCCATCCCTCGTTTGTACACAAATGGGGCTTCCTTCCCAGGGCACCCTGGCTCATGCTCTGTGCCAAACATGGACATGTAAGGGACAGAGAAAGCCAGACACCAGGACGGAAGAGAGAGTGCTTGCCATGGTTTCTGTAAAGGCCACCGGCCGCCTGGCCCTGGGAGTGTGTTGGACATGGGCAACGGACTGGATTTACATTGTGATGCTAGATGTCATAGCGAAAGGCATGAGGGAAGGGTGAACCTGGCAGTGCTTCTTAGCAAACCCACATTGCCTTTACACGGTGACCATTTTCCTGTATTTAGAACTTTAAGCCTCAGGCATTGGGAGTGGAGGGTTTGGAGGCATTGAGGTCTTCGCTGAAAACGTGCCTACCCCCCTGTATACAGTCTGTAACACAGAAGAACTGGATGGGATGCCACTTTCTATTCTCTCATCACATCTCCTTCCATCTCCGTCACTGGCAATGGGGCAAGGGACTCGGCAGGTGTCTTCGACCCAGGTCCAGGGTCAGAGACGGGCCCTGCCCTTATTCCAGCTGGCCAGCCAGCCAGCACCCTCAGGATAGATACTCGCCTGGCTTTACCTTTGTGGCCTCTGCCCTTGTCTACGTGGACTTTGCTGTAGGTGGAGACACCTGAGGAGTCTCCCCTGGGAGGTCTCCCCTTGCTACTTTCTCACATGGCTGTCAGTGATAGGAGGGATTAAAGCTCCCTCCTTGCGCCCCCCCACCCCACCCCATCATCACTTGTTTAACTTTCCCATGGAGTTTCCAATCCCAGCAATATCAATTTCAAATGACTAGAGCCAGGTGGCCCCTGCCCTCCTCATGGACACTGCCTGTTCCGGGAAATGGAGCATCTGGCCCATCCTTGCTCCTTCCCAATCCCTGTCTCTCCCCCTAAATCCCGCACAGAAACATCTCCCAGGAAAGCCCCACTCTCACACTCCCACCTCCTATTGGAGCCAGCCTGAAACATGGGGCCAGCTGTCCGGAGGTTTGTAAACCAGCTTTGGACTTGATCACTGGGTCTGGCTGTTACAGGATCCTGGCATCATTCGACCCCTTTAGTGCAGCCCTGGCACCTTGTACATGCCTAGATCCATGCCCCAGGCCTCCCTATTGGCATGCGTACTCATGCCCAGCTCATCAGACAGATCTGAGACACCTTGCTCCCATTGGTGTGGAGAGCAGCACACGTGTTTCTGAACCTATGAGAGATGCTCACGCGGGCCATGCCACTTTTTGATGGGGACTTGGTTCTTGTGATGCAGAGCTGGCAGGTCACAGAGTGTTCTGGCACAAACCAGTTGGGGAGCTCTTCCTGGAGGCTGTGAGGTACCAATTGATAATGGCCAGGCTTTCAGTTCTGGCCCAGCTGGAAGAGTTCTCTGGCTAAGCCGTTCTTTGGGAAACCCCGTCAAAGTCCTTTAACCTCACCAAAGCCCGGCTTTGCTCGCTGCCAGGCTGTTAGCAGCCTAGCCCCCCTTTCCCAGGCCTCTCCTCTCCCGTGCGCCTCTCAGCAGAATCGCCCTTTCAGCCGTCCTGTGACGCCTTCCTCCTATTAACAGCCCAATTCTGTAATTTTTACTGGGTCAGCAGGAGACTTGCCAAAGCCGCTCCAGTGCCGAGCCTGTGTTTATTTTAGGTTATGGAGTGACTTTTGAATCTGTACTTATTTATTCTGCGTTACTGAAATCACACACAGGAATTCCTTTATGCTTAACTCTCCCCAACCCTTTACATTGCACTCTCTCTCTCTCCCTCTCTCTCTCTCACACACACACACAGTCCAGGCTACTCCTGAGGCTGTGGAATGTGCCCATTCAAAACCTCAGGGGACGCATGCTATATTTTTGTGTAATATGCAGAATCCAGAGGACAAAATCACAACTACCTGTGCTCTGAGAAACACTTTTCTAGATTTTTCCATTAAAGCGTTTTGAAGACGTAGTATGTCCTGAGAGTGTAGCTTGGGTTGAGTTGGGTTGTTCGCAGGATAAAGGCAGCGTGGTTCCTACGCTTGTCCGTTCTGAGTTTGGGGACTTACTGGACTTGCAAAGGCCTTTCTCTTCTGGCTCCCGGTGGCCTCTTGCTGATTGGAGAGCAGCAAAAGAGTGAGAAGCCCCACTTTGGTGCTGCTTCCGTAGAAACGTGGCAGAGTGAAAACCAAGCACCTTGACTTTCAGAGCAGTCCCTGGAGGGAAGGAGCTCCCCCCTGTTGACCCCTCCCTTCTGTCTCCTGCCCCCAGGCTGCGGTGGTCGTGGTGTTCAACTTCGCCATGGTCCTGCTGATCTTCCCTGCTATTCTCAGCATGGACCTGTATCGGCGGGAGGACAGGAGGTTGGACATCTTCTGCTGTTTCACCAGGTACGTCTCAGCAGGCTCCTGTGGGCTCTGTGGTAATGGCTTAGTCCTCTCCCACCAAACCCGGGGCAGGAGATGGAGAAGGGGGGTGTAGCTAACAGCCGTCACGAAGACCCCAGACAAGGGACACCAAGTCCCCTGGACTTCATCCTGCAGCTGCATAACCCCAGCTGCCTTAAGGCCCTGCAGCCCTGGGTCCGTGAGTCGAATAGAGATGTTGCCATCCTCCACCTTTGCCTTTCTTGTAGCCCTTGCGTCAGCAGGGTGATCCAGGTGGAGCCCCAGGCCTATACGGAAGCCCACGACAGCCCGCGCTACAGCCCCCCACCCCCCTATAGCAGCCACAGCTTCGCCCACGAGACGCAGATCACCATGCAGTCCACGGTACAGCTGCGCACGGAGTATGACCCGCACACGCACGCGTACTACACCACGGCCGAGCCACGCTCTGAGATCTCCGTGCAGCCAGTCACCGTGACACAGGACAACCTGAGCTGTCAGAGCCCTGAGAGCACCAGCTCTACCCGGGACCTGCTCTCCCAGTTCTCCGATTCCAGCCTCCACTGCCTCGAGCCCCCCTGCACCAAATGGACGCTCTCATCTTTCGCCGAGAAGCACTATGCGCCCTTCCTCCTAAAGCCCAGAGCCAAGGTAAGGCGTGGCCAAGTCTCCGCTGTCTTGACGTAGCATTGACGTAGTGTGATCAATTGCACGGCTCCCCCTAGACAGCGTCCATTCGGAGGGCCAGGCCCGTGTGAGCAAGCTCGCCCAGCAGTCCTGTTTGCCCATGCACATCAGCGGCTTTGTTCTGCATGAAGCTGTTACAAAATGCAATGGTTGGGCTTTTCTTTCTTTTTCTTCTCCCATGTATCTTCCCCAGTGGGAGCACCACCCGTCCTGATGCACTGGGACCGGTCTTGGTGGAGGAACACGCTACAGAGCCTGAGCTTGAGTTTCTTGCTGTGTGTTGCAGGTCGTGGTGATCTTCCTCTTCCTGGGCCTCCTGGGGGTCAGCCTGTACGGGACCACCCGAGTAAGGGACGGGCTGGACCTGACAGACATCGTCCCTCGGGAAACAAGAGAGTATGACTTCATCGCTGCGCAGTTCAAATACTTTTCTTTCTACAACATGTATGTAGTCACGCAGAAGGCGGACTACCCGAACATCCAGCACTTACTTTACGACCTGCACAGGAGCTTCAGCAACGTGAAGTATGTCATGCTGGAAGAAAATCAACAGCTTCCCAAAATGTGGCTGCACTATTTCAGAGACTGGCTCCAAGGTAAGAAGCTTCCCCGTGGGGAGAGGCAGTTGGGGGAACCTTGACTTTCTATCGGCAGTGCCAGACGAAGAATTCATTGCACCCGGTGGAGAAAACGGTGTGCCAGGTTATTGCTTACTGAGCATGCTCAAAAGATTGACTTGAGTATGTTCCAAACATAACTTTCTTTTTATACTTAGTTTTGAAATCAGTGGTTTTGGGCTAATGAGTCAAAAGACATCCCCGGAGAAGAGTCCCTTGTTTTCATATCTCCCCATTGACTAAAGACAGGCAAATAAAGTGCCATGAGTGCTAAGGAGATGCGTGGGACAGTGGAGGGCATCACCAGTTCTTGGGGTGCCCAGCGTGTGGCCCAAGGCAAAGGTTGGGAAGCTTGGCAGGGCTAACTTCTTCTTAGAGTGGAGGTTACCGCTACCCCCTCCTCCCTTAGGGCACTAGGACCTGAAGTTGCACTGTTAAGGTGCCTTGGCATTGCCTCATGAGTGGCACGCAGCAGACCACATTCAGTCTCTTGCTTGCTCAGCAGTTCCGATACCCGCTTTCCAGATTCTAGGGACCCTTAGCTGCTTGTGTATCCGTTAGGTCATGGAGTGGTCCCTATGGCCATTGAACATTTCCTCTAGGAAAGAACTCACCCTTGGTTCAGTCTCTCCGTGAGTAATGGAAGCCTCCTTGGTTTGTGGTGGAATCACCGTGCAAACCATTTGAAACATTGGCCTTGATCAGGCTCGCAGCAGCTTTGGGGTTCACTCAGGGAAGTATCCATGCAAATGAAATGAAGAGCCATACCTTGCATCTGTACAAACAGGGTTCATTTAGATTTCGTGTTGCGTTGCATGAATAGAATTGAAATGAACGTTTTCTGTTTCGGGTCTTAACAGTTGAAAGAAAAAAAATGGAGTTGTGCTTACACTGTCCTCTGCAAATGTGGCCCTTCCTTCCTTTCTTTGACTAGTGTATGATGACCTGAAGGCTCTGAAAATGTGGCAAAGGTGCACTTGGCCTTGCGGGGGGGGGGGCACCCTCCTTTGGTGCCCCCCACCCCGAAATACTGTTGGTACCTGAGTTAGTTGGCTATGTGTATTCTTGTCTTCGGGGAATGTGTCTTGGGTTGTGCAGGATGATGAAGGTTGGTGCCAAGCCTGGCACAGCCTGCCTGCCTTTCTCAGCCTCAGTTTCTCCATCTGTAGATTGGGAATAAATGTGCTCATGGCACCGCCTCCGGTGTAATTGCAAGACTTAAGCCAGGAATGACTCTAGGATCCAGAAAGGAATATAGAGCCATGAGAGGAAAATGGGGTGGGCCTCCCTCCCTTGTGGGGGGTCGGGACTGGGGTGGGGGTGGAGAGCGGTTATTTTTCAAAAACAAGAAGGGGAAAGACTTTGGGTCATAAAGTAACATCTGTTCGGCATGGCCGTGTGCAGGCCTGGCTATGAAAAGCAGGCTGTCTGCAGGCTGGGAGTTTGGCCGTGCTGGTGGTCCCTCCCCACCCCCAAGCAGGGGCTTCCTTTTCGCCCGCCACCACCTTCTCCCCCAAAATTGCTCCTTTAAGGATCTCTCCCTGAAGCCATTCAGGAGAGAAAAGCCAGAGGGAGGAACTTCCCTCCTGCACCTCCAGTTTCCCCCACTGCAACCCCCACCCCCAGAGCTTAACCAAGGCAGCCAGATTTTTTTTTTTTTTTTTTTGGTCTTTGAAGTCACCCAAGGCATGTCCTGAAATGAAACAAACCCCTCTCCCTCCTTACCAGCCATGTCTAAGCTATACATATACAGCTTGTTCAAACGCTGTGGTTTCCTGAGCCGCTGGGGCCTGGGGGTTCTACTTGGGAGGTGCAGGGGGTGGGTAGGGAGACCAGGGGGAGCCAGGGAGCGGGCACACCAGCCGGCGCTCAGACCCTAAGGCTGGGTCACCGGGGCCCTGTTTTGCCTTCCAACACGCTTATCTCTTTACAGCTGTAGCCAAACCGTCAGGTCTGTAATGATGGTTTTGATTACCCGGGCCGAGCGCAGCTGTGTGTGGTGGTGGGCTGGTGGGCTCCCCCATCCCCACCCCCACTCCCTACCCCCTTGCCCAGAGTGCCTTCCCTCCCCCACTCCCTTCCCCCCGGGCTTGCGGTTTGTCATCTGTTCTCACAGAGCCTCCTTGTATTGGCCTGTGGCTTCCTGTTCTGCTTCTGCTCCAAGTCAGCCCTGGGAGGCATTGCCCCAGTATGTGCACGCGCGCGCGCACGCACACACACACACACACACACACACACACACACACAGAGTCTTCCCGCGGTCCCGCACCCCCACCCCCACTCCTGGGAGAGGAAAAGAACATGGTGGAGAATGAGAAGGTGTCGGCTGGAATCTTTACACAACCTGGCAGCAGAGCCCACAGCTTGTGTTAGCTCCTCGAGCCGGCCAGATGGAACAAATTCACCCCCCGACTCCAGCAGCAAGCACATGGGTTGTTTGAAGTCGGGAGCCTGCGCGGCTTCCTCCTTCCGTGCAAGTGCGGTTGCTGGGTGTGTGGAAGATGCCCGTGGCTTAGCACCTTCCACGGTGTGCCATGGCTAATGAGCCCGGAGTATGTCTATCTCACTCTCACTGCTGTGGTTTCTCTCTCTCTTTCTCTGTCTCTTTTAGAAAGGTTAGATGTATGCTTGAGTGCATCTCTTGTACCGCTCCCCCACGGGAGGCAGTGACTATTAGCAATCTGCAGTTCATTCATGGAAACTGTAATCATATTAGTGGAAGTAGGAGCCAGAGACGGTTTTGATGGATGGCCAGCCATCCCCTGTCCCATCCCACTGCTGCCCTGTTGTTCTCACCCCGCCCCCATGAGCCCTGGGGTCCCTGTGCCTCAGAAAGGAATGGATTCCACACACTTGCCTTTTCCTAGGGCTCCAGGATGCGTTCGACAATGACTGGGAGACGGGCAGGATCATGCCCAACAATTACAAAAACGGATCAGATGATGGGGTTCTGGCCTACAAACTCCTCGTGCAAACCGGCAGTCGAGACAAACCCATTGACATCAGCCAGGTAGGTAGTTCCCTGCCTGTGCCCCAGTGGGCCCCGGGAGGATGCTGGGGGCAGCTGCTTGGGGGCTGTGCTGGGAGAAAGACTTTGGTCATGGCTGCAGTTCACCTCCTCCCACCAGCCACCCTAACTTACACACACACATACACACACTCACTCCAGGGGCCCAAGCCCCTGCATGATGGGGCCCGAATGTTAGCACGGAGTCGTTTGCGTGGGGTGGCCATTCTCCAGCTGCGTGCATGGCTTCTGGGCATGCTCAGGCGTGGCCAGGGGTGAGTGTGTGGATTTCGGATGGGTCCAGCCCTGCTCTGGGGTTCCTGCAGAACTTCCCTCCATTCTTTGTAGTAGGGCTTGCTGGTTTCACCTTCAGGCGTACAACCGTCATGCCAGTGATCCTCCCGGCAGCTCTGTTTATTGTCTGGCGTGAGAGGTGACAGATTTACAAAGTACATTGTTCGGAGTTATTACGGAGTGTGAAACGTCCAGGCTGGGCAGCAGCATGCAGCGGGCTGTCATGGCTGACGAGCGTGTGGGCAGAAGGGATGCTCGGGGACAGGCAAGGCACGCAGGGCGGCGGGGACCTGCGTGATGGGGCCAGCCACCCCGACTCCCGGTGTGTCATTTCCTCGGCCACGCTGCGCGCACCTGGGGCCGTGAGCTGTACTCTGTAATTGCAGACACGGTTTGAAGACACACAGTTGTTACAGATCCTGGTGATTAATGGAATCCAGAGCCCCAAGATCCAGTGTCCTCCCCGTTCACTCGCTTCTCTTCCTCGAGTCTCTGTCACTGGGCTTTCTCATGGCCTGGAGAAAAAAAAAAAAAAAAAAAGACCAGTGCGTTGGAACGGTTCCTTAATGTAAACAGGAAAAAAATGTTTCTCCATATAGAAAACCGACCCACACTCGGCAGCGCTCCGCCTGGGTGAACGCTTCCCCCCGGGGGCCTCTGGCCGAGGGAGCCCCGAGAGGTCGTGGTGGCATGCTAATCTCTTCCCCTCCGTGGCAGTGGGCACTTTTTGGAATCCACAGGTCAGAGGAGGCTAGTGTTAGCGAAATTTATACAGATGTTGTTTTATTTTTATAGCTCTCCTCCATTTACTGGGTGGCATTTCCTTCAGTGTTAACAAGAGGTTAACTGCGCACAGGCGCGGAAGGGGATGCGTGCCAGGTTTTCTCTCCCCTTCCCTTCGTATAAATATGTTTCTCCAGATTGTTCCTTCCCCGCCTTGGCTACAGTCAGTCGGGTTTAATTGCCTCAGCCGGTTTTCCAGGCCATCTGCAGAACTGTGTGCGTGCGTGTATGTGTGTAACACCACTGGCAGTTGTCCCGAAAGAAGCGAAGGGTGTACTCATTGGGGTTCCTGACCCTTGCACAACAGTAGGTGTTCCATGTCCCTGGGCGTCCCTTGGCCACCACCCTGATCTGAAGGGCCCCCCCCCAATTTCTCTTTCATGCAGCTGACAAAACAGCGCCTGGTGGATGCCAATGGCATCATCAACCCCAGTGCCTTCTACATCTACCTGACGGCCTGGGTCAGCAACGACCCCGTGGCTTACGCCGCCTCCCAGGCCAACATCCGGCCCCACCGCCCCGAGTGGGTACACGACAAGGCCGACTACATGCCCGAGACGAGGCTGAGAAGTAAGTAGCAATGCTCCAGGCAAGGATGTGGAGGCACCTGCTCCTCCCTCCCTCCCCACCCCCAAGTCCCCCCACCTTCACCCCCACCCGCTCTTCAGAGCTCAGCACCAAGCCGTTGATATTACCCAGGGTTCCGGAGTGTAAACAGAACCATCTATTTCTTTTCATTTTAAAACCCCAGGGCAGACAGATGAGGATGTGTAATGGAATACGACCCAGCACTCCGTGGCGTTGAGAAAGAATCTCTCTAATCTTCCTTTTGTAGCTTTCACGTGCATCAGGCCTGGCTGGAGAGTGCCAGCTGGTCCGTGTGAACGTTGGGGGATGCCTCCAGGTTGAGTGTGAGGTTGCCGGTGCAGGGTTTTATCGCTGGGGATTGTGTGTTTATCTTCCTTTGTCAACTCCAGTGTTTGAAGGGATTTTTGGTCACGTTGGGTCTTTCCCATAAGCCAACAAGCACCTGTAGCCTGTTGAAACTGGAGCAGCAAAGTGCCCCAGCCACAGCAGCGTCCTCTTCTAGCTAGAATTTGCCGGGTGGTGGTTTTGTGTGGCTGCAATGTACCCTTGGGTTTGAGGGACCACAGGGAACTTGTGTCTTTGGAGAGTGCGGGCCGAGAGAACACACAGGTCCCTTCGCACACGTGGCCGGAGCAGGAGTCGTGCTCACTGGCATGTCAACCCCTGAGCCTGGTGGCAAGCAGCCAAGACGTGTCTTAATGAAAATTTATAGTTGAGATTATAATAGGGCAAATCATGTTTAGCAAATCAACTGAGTGACCCCCAAAGGGTTCGGAACACACAGCGGCAGCCACTAAAGGCTTGTTGGGTAAGGATTGCTGTTGCTGAAGACTTAGCATCGCATTAGCAAAGAAGCACGGTCGACTTAAGTGGGTGCGGGCGCTAAAGGGATCAGGAAGTTAAGCAGTTTTTTTTTTTTTTTTCCTGCAAAGCATGACTCTGGATCCGATCTGCTCTTGTTAAGCGATTGAGGAGAGCAGTGTGTGCTTGGCTGTGGCCACGTGTGCCCAGCAGCCCAGCAGCCAGCCACCACCTCCCCCGGAACCACGCCCCCTCCCACCTGACAAAATGACCCACTCCTGCCCCACGCTGCACCCCAGCTCCAAGCTATTTCCATTCGCTTTTTCATCCAACGTGAAAAATCTATGCAGATCAGAAAGCTGCCTCGCTTGCTGGCGCCGTGCCTCCCCACCCCTTACCCTGCTCCCACCCTAACCTTGCATCTCTCCCCTTCATCTCCAGTCCCCGCTGCAGAGCCCATAGAGTATGCTCAGTTCCCCTTCTACCTCAACGGCCTGCGGGACACCTCTGACTTCGTGGAAGCCATTGAGAAAGTACGGAGCATCTGCAGCAACTTCAGCAGCCTGGGGCTGTCGAGTTACCCCAACGGCTACCCCTTCCTCTTCTGGGAGCAGTACATCGGCCTCCGGCACTGGCTGCTGCTGTCCGTTAGCGTGGTGTTGGCCTGTACGTTCCTGGTGTGCGCCGTCTTCCTGCTGAACCCCTGGACCGCCGGCATCATTGTGAGTCACCACGAGCGTCTTTGTGGAAGGCAAATTCCTTTTGGCATAGCTCTTGCTGCAGCCGGAAAGTCGTGTTTATGTCTGGGCCTCAGGAGGAGGGTATAGATTGCATCAGCCATTAACGTATTTATTCGACCGGAGGTGGCGAGGTTCGCGGCTAAGGTGGACCCTCTCAGATGGCTGTGATGGGGTGGGGAGTGTGTGTGTGGGGGGGACAGGGTTTGCTTACCACCCCCACCTCCTTGTCTGCAGCTGTAAAATCCTTCTGCAAAAGATAGGAAGCTTTTAAAACGTGCACTCCCCCGAGAGCTCAGAGCATTTCTTAAAGAAAAAGCAGTCCAGCTTCACTATTTTTTTTTAAATATTATTATTGAAAAGTGGCCTATGGGGTCTTCAGTCTAGTCCTGAGAATACTTAGAAGGGGAGGACAGTGGAATGTGGAGAAAGTGGCTGTGAGATGCTGCATAGGTCTGTGTGTGTGAGCTTGAACTCCCGGGAGGGGACATGACATAGTGCTGTTACTGAGCTGTGTGCTCTGCCTTCCTTGCTTTTCCAGAATATTCCAGACTGTAAGTCAGTTTCTTATAGAGTCTTTATTAAAGTTATGGCAATGTTTTCACTTCCTGGAACTATGGTATAGCCTTTAAAATACCCAAACTACAAAAACAGGCCTTTGTTTGGCTTTTTGGACTCTGCACAGCAGGTGCGCGAACAGGTGACAGTTGAGCAGAGCGTTTTCACAGGACGCAGACCATTGTCCATCTTTCGCCAGGAAGAAAGAGCACTTCCTGCTTTGCAGAGCTGGGGGGGGGGGGTGGGATTGTGTCCACCCCTCTCCCTCCACCCAAGACACACCAGCATCCACCTGCCACATCTTCTCTCCATTTGCCGCTCCTGGTGTTCCCAGGAACACGGAAGGTGGAAGCTCTCCTCTGCACTTACCTTTGCTCTGGTCTGCCCAGTTGCTCCCCGAGTCTTGATGCTGGCCTCTGGTCACCTGGGCTCTCCCCACAAGAACAGCCACTCACCTTCAGCCAATCTGTGGTCTGAGAGTGGGACCTCAAAAACTTGAATGTTCAAGTTGGAAGCTGCAAGGGATCTGTAATGGCTGACGTCAAAGCAGAGGGGAGGGGGCTTGTGTGAGACGACGGTCATCAGTTAACCTTTGGATCTAGGATCAATCCATTCATTCTCAAAACCCTTATTATCAAAGTAGAAGTGCTGTGTAAAATAGGTGTTACCCTGTATTGCTTGCTTAGGAAATACCCAGGAGGGGAAACGCTTATATATGATGTATATAGAATTGGAAGCCGAGTGATGGCTTCATCCCTATGCGGGGTCTTCAGAAGTTCATGGGGAATACAGATGACAAATAAACCACCTGTGCCTTTCAAAACATCTTTGCCGCAAAACAAATGTATCTGTTCTACTGTCTTCCATGCTTCTGAAGTCCCCTTGTGGATTGGAAAATGCCTCAGCCTTACAAATTAACTGTCCAGCTCCGCACCTCGACCCCACTTCCCAGCAGGAAGTAAACCGGACACCAGCTGGACAGGGCCGCAGGTGTTTGCTGCTCACTGATCGCCACGTGTCTTCTTCCAGGTGATGGTCCTGGCTTTGATGACCATCGAGCTGTTTGGTATGATGGGCCTCATTGGAATCAAGCTGAGCGCAGTGCCTGTGGTCATCCTGATCGCGTCTGTGGGCATAGGAGTGGAGTTCACTGTCCACGTTGCTCTGGTACGAGAGAAGAGCGGAACAGGGGGGAACATGTCCTCTGGTTTATTTGGGGCTGGAAGTGGGAACCTTTCTGAACATCCCATGCATGCCAGGGAGAGGGCTACAGACAGAATACAGGAGTCCCAGGATGTGGGGGATGGAGGTGCCTGACCACTGTCCTTCTTGGACGGTCAGAGGAAAAGGGCTTGGCGGTTAGCTGGGTCTTGTGGGAATTCTGCTCACTAGGTGTTGGCCAGCATTCATGTTGCCTTGGGGCCTGAACTTGTGGCTTTTCTTCCTGAACTAGGTTAGGTGTAGGGTATGTGTGTATGTGGCTGTGAGTGCTTGGAAAGCAGGTGAGGAGTTCAAGATAGAACGAGACCTCACTCACGGACATAGACACTGTTAGCTGGATAAATACAACTTTTTAGTCCTGTATTTTTTCTTATGATACCTTTGTGGTGCTTATCTGTACAATAGGCATATTTGTGCAAAGCAGTGATGGAAATTCTTGTCGTAGCATAATGGTGAGGAAATAGAAGGGGTCTTCAAGAAGTTCATGGGGAGGGCTTAGGATGAAAAAAAAAAAAACCTATGCATGGCTTTGAAAATGGTTTGTGCCAGACAGAATAAGCTGAGCTTCTAATGCCACATATCCATGAACTTTGTGAAACCCAGCCACCTCTGACACCAAGCAAGGACCATTTTGGAAGCAACGTCTTTAGACTTGTCCAAACCTGCGGTCATACTGTTACTGTTTTGCTGCTCTGGCTCTAGCATGGGAGTGGCAGGTGATTGTGCAAGGGGTCAAGGAACAGAGAAGGGAAGGGAATATTCCTGCTCCGAGTCACGACCCGACAGCAGAACAGGTCATTGTAGGGTAAGCGTAGATTTTGCCTGATGAGCAAGTCCAGTGATCCAAGCCAAGCACTGGGCAGTGGGCTGTGAGAAGCTCACACACATGGGCAACAAAGCTGACCAGGCCATCTCCAAACTCTCTCGGCTCACAGGCCTTCCTGACCGCCATCGGTGATAAGAACCGACGGGCCGTGCTTGCCCTGGAGCACATGTTCGCGCCTGTCATGGATGGCGCCGTGTCCACTCTGCTGGGAGTGCTGATGCTGGCAGGATCTGAGTTTGATTTCATTGTCAGGTAAGTAGGAGCATGGGGGAGCTTTAGGGCCAGCAGCACAGGCAGCTGCACAGCTCAGAGGCAGAGAAATATTCCTTTCCCTTGCTGGTGTCCCCAGGTTAGAGTGTTGGGGACATCTGCTCTCAATCCCAGCTTTCTGCAAGCACCACCCCCCCCACACACCAGGGAGGCATCCAGAGAGAGCTCAAGGGGTTGGGTCTCTGCCAACCCCATGGGAGACCTGAGCTGAGTTCCTAGCTCCTGGCTTGAGCCTGGCCCAGCCCCAGCCACCAGCAGGTGTGAGAAATGAGCTAGCAGCAGATGGGAGATCTTACCTAGCTGCCTCACAAAGAAGTAAATACAAGAAAGGAAGTTGGGATCAGGTGCCAAGATTTCCTAGTGGAGCCCCAGTAAGATGTAAGAAGCACTGCGCGTTGGACATTTTTGGACACTTGTTTTGGAGTCTCAAGGCAAGGCCTTTGTCTGGTTGACTTCATCAAGAATGCGGTTTTATGAAGTCTCAGGATTAGAGGTAGCTTTCCTTTGGGGACAAATTGGAGAGCTGCAGAACAAGAAAGACCATCTTCCCTGGACAACCCTGGCTGTTTGAGTGCCAGGCGCTTTTGGATCAAAAGCTGTTGCTTTGTGAAGAGGTGGGACCAAGATACTACAGCATCAGAACACGGATAGGGCAGACCCAGATGTGGGAGCTGATTGACTTGTCTAGAGAGAGATGCTTGTCTCTGTGCGTTGAAGGGTCTGTGGGAGAGAGACGGTACCCCTGTCATCTTCAAGTTAAGAGGAGCCAATAGTCTCACCACGTTTTATTTATCAGAGTCCATTGGACTCATCGTGGGGGTTCAGCCTCATACAAGAAGGAAAAGACCTCCATTCAGCCTGGCCCATTGTCTCTCACAAATAATTCAGAAACCAGGCCTGACACAGGGTGTGCCAGGAGCTCCCCACGGCAATCAGGATGTAATGAATCCCTTCAGTTTTGGGGATGCCACCTGAATGAGGGCATGTAGGCACGAAGTGGCAAGGGGGACAGTTGCTTGTTGCCCTATACGGACGCCGTGACTCCCATTTACTAAAACTGGCTGGAACAGCCCGATAAAGCACTCTCCGAGGTCGAACAAATGAACAGACATTGTATACACTAAGCCGTCAGGAATCTAATTGGTCTGTTTATGCTGCGGGCAGATGGATGGAAGGCAAATGGCTTAATGCCTGCTGCTGATATATGTGCCTGCGCCGAACGTCCCAGCGGTTTACATTACAGCAAGACGCTGGCGGCTCAGTCTTATACTAGTACAGCTCAGAAGTTTCTGGTGTTTACAATAGCCACGAGGTATTTGTGTTTTTATAGGGGGTCCTTTCTGCTTTCATCTGCTGCTGAAGCCTATAGAGACAGGGCGAAGTTGGGTGCCTGTTCCGTTTGCACAACCCCAGAGGGCCATTGGCAGACAGATACCTTGTCCTTGCCTCTTCCCAGACCATTGCCCACTGCCATCCTTGTGGCCCCCCAGAAATCATTAGTTCCAGAAATGCCCCCCCTCCTCACGCTGCAGCAGAGAGCATCTGCCAGGCCCACCTTTGTACCGGTGAAAACTCATGGGCCTTTGCCCTCTGCCAGCAGCGGTGGGAAAGCGGACCTCCTCATGCACGCTGCTCTGCTTTCGGTTGGCACTGGCCGAACGCGAGCATTCAGAGATGCTCAATTGTGCAACAAAAGCCAGCCAGCAGAACAGCCCCGCCATTGTGGAGAGCCCACACCCCACACAGTACACAGCTCCCACAGAATGGGCAGCATTCTCCTTGGAGACACTGCTGGCTCCTGTGTTCCTAAGAGCTTGCCATCAGAGCTCTTTGGTTTAAAAAAAAAATGCTTGAAACTTGCAGAATTTCTGTGATTGGTGTGAAGGCTCAGGGGGCAGGGAGCAGGCTCACCTGATCTCCCACTGACTACAGACTTTACGAATTAAGAAATTAACCCTCCTGTCCCTTCCCAAAATGCAGAGACATTTCACAGTGGGTTAGCTGCACACAGAAGCAAGGGGGGCTTTCCTTCTGGACTAAACGGTTAAGCCTCTGTACCCTTCACTCCACTGTGGCTCCTATTGGGGTCTCCTGCAGGCCCCTCGGCATAGGGACCCCTTGGCATGGTCGACGCCTTCACTTTGAGTCTACACAGCCCTCAGCTGGCGTTCTGTGTTTCTCTGTGTTCGCGTGGTGCGTTCATCAGGACCGTCGTTAGCCCCTCCCACCCCCAGAGTTCAGTCAAGTCCCAAAGGGATTTTATCTTTTCTTCCCTTCTCAGAGTAGTGAGTTGCACGTTTACACACCAGCGAGCCTCCTGCTGAAGCTGAGCAGTCATCCGGAGGCTTGCTCAGAACGCTGGCTTGCATCAGGGCTCATGTCGTTGACAAGGATTGCCTCCTGTCTTCTAGGTATTTCTTCGCTGTGCTGGCCATTCTAACAATCCTGGGCGTCCTCAATGGACTGGTGTTGCTCCCAGTCCTCCTGTCTTTCTTTGGGCCGTATCCTGAGGTGAGTCTCCAGGCCGCCAGGTGCTGGGCGTGCATACTGCGGGTAGAGCTTTCCCTGGGGCCGCCCTGCGTGTAGACATAGATCTGTTTCCACACTGACAGTCATGGTGGGCTGGTTTTATTGGTTGCTTGGTTGGTCCTCTTCTGTTTCTTTCATTGAGTATCTTTGGTGCGGTGAGGGTGTGGGGACAGGTCTGCTTCCATCTGGGGTTTTTGAGCCAGCCAATGAGAAGCCTGCATCTGTATAATTGAACCTCTTCCCCAATCAAGATGACTCTTAGCTTTAACCAAGAGTCCAAAAGTACACTTCCCACCTCTTTGGTCCTACCCATGGGACTTGAGGTGGCATAGAGGAGGGGAGGTGAACATGGCATAGCATGCAGGGCTCCTGGGCACCACACTTGGAACGTGGAGAAGTGTGTGTGGCCAACAAGCTAACTGGACCGTGACACCTCCCAACAGGTATCTCCAGCCAACGGTCTCAGCCGGCTGCCCACCCCATCACCTGAGCCACCCCCGGGCATGGTCCGCTTCTCCATGCCCCATGGCCACATGAACAGTGGCTCCGATTCCTCTGACTCCGAGTACAGCTCGCAGACCACGGTATCAGGCCTCAGCGAAGAACTCCAGCATTATGAGACAGAGCGGAGTCCCAGGGGCCCTGCCCACCAGATGATGGTAGAAGCCACAGAGAACCCCGTCTTTGCCCGCTCCTCTGTAAGTCACTTCAGGGCACCAGGGAGGGCCTACACATAGGTCGAATCTCGTGACATCACCTTTTCTTTCTTTCTTTCTTTCTTTCTTTCTTTCTTTCTTTCTTTCTTTCTTTCTTTCTTTCTTTCTTTCTTTCTTTCTTTTCTTGTTACCCGCAGGCGTGGCTTTTTCTTAGCTTTCTCCTTTTCACTGTTCTCATTTCTGTTGTTACTATGATTATTAATTATTATCCCAAGACTTTCCCCATGAACTGCCTCTAAGCTCCTATTTCCATGTGGCAGGAAGAAGCTGAGGAGCCAAGCAGCCTTCGGGAAGTTACAGATCATACTGTATTCCCCAAGACGGTTCCCCCAGCCCCCATGCGTGCACACACACACCACACACACACACACACACCATCAGCACCAGGAGCTCCTCCTGGCAAGCGCAGGGAAGCCTGCAGGCTCCTGTTGCTGCACCGGGGGCCCCCCTGCTGTCCCTCCAGGAAATGGGTATTCCAGTCCCAGGCCAGAGCAGCCCTTCCGTGAAAGAGCCAGGGGCCAGCCAAATAACCTAAATTGTCCTCCCCTCACCCCCCATGAGGATCCCCGCTGAGCTGTAGTGTGAATCTGGTTTTGTCCAGCGGGAGTCTAAAAATAGGTACAAGCTGAACGACTTTGAAGTTGGTCACGGTCTTGGTGATTGACGTGGTCACTGTGCCGCTCCAGGCTTTGTATAGAGACCCGGAGAGCAGACTCCTTTAACAGTCAGGCAGAGCTGTGCCGCTGTCCCGTGAAACTTTGTGCGACTGTTGAAAGCACAGCGCACTCTCTCAGGTACTCAGCTCTCCCAAGGCAAGGAGCTACCTGCAGCCAGCCGGCCGCCGCTCATGGCCAGTGAGCCGGTCAAGTGGCTCATATGTAGTCCGGCTCTCCCCACTGGGAGTTGAAGGCGCTCAGGGCCTGATCAGACTGGGCAAGGTGGTATAAAGGGAGCAGCTGGCCACTGCCTGACCACAGCCCTGTGTGTGTGACCAGCTCTTCTAGAGGAAATGCCTGGAATGTAGCAGTCAGAGCAAGCCCTCTTCTGCTAGGGCCTGGAGGTTGTGAACACAAATGTCTTTACGGGGGAGGAACAGCCTGGGTGTTTGCCTGCAATTGCCTGGGCTCTTTGCAAAGCCCAGTACAGGCTGTGCCCAGCACCACCACCTTAACCCACCTTCCCCACTCTGCAGGTGGTTCATCCCGAATCCCGGCATCACCTGCCCTCCAACGCTCGCCAGCAGCCGCTACTGGACTCAGGGCCCCTGTCCCCTGGACGGCAGAGCCAGCAGCCCCGCAGGGACCTCCCCAGAGAAGGCTTGCGGCCGCCCCCCTACCGACCACGTAGAGACGCTTTTGAAATCTCTACTGAAGGCCACTCTGGCCCCAGCCACAGGGACCGCGGGCCACGCATGCACAACACCCGGAATCCGGCATCGTCCAGCGCCTCCTCCACAGCCACCCCGGGCAGCGCGTTGCCCGGCTACTGCCAGCCCATCACCACCGTGACAGCCTCTGCTTCGGTGACCGTAGCCGTGCACCCCCCGCCAGTTCCTGGCCCCCTTGGGCCTGGACGGAATCCGCGTGGAGGCCTCTGCCCCGGCTACGAGGGCTACCCAGAGACTGAACCCGGGCTGTTTGAGGACCCCCATGTCCCGTTCCATGTGCGCTGTGAGACAAGAGACTCCAAGGTGGAGATTATAGAGCTGCAGGACCTGGCGTGTGAGCAGCGCGCCCGGAGAGGCAGCTCGGCCTGAGGTGCGTCTGTCGGGAGTGGGCGACTGGGGACCACCTGCAGCATCAGTGCTCCACGCATCTGACCCTGCAACGTGTGCAAGCTGCCATCCCACAGGAATCAACCCGATTGCAGACGGGTCTGTCCTACCCCCACTGTGAACCAGTTGAGGGGGTCGTTAAAACTCACAGCCCCTGACCGACTTTACCTTTCTCCTACTTGCTGGTTTTGTTGTTTTGTTTTGTTTTCTTTTTTAAGATTTATTGCTTATTTGAATGGCAGAATTACAAAGAGAGAGAAAGATCTTCTATCCATTGGTTCGGTCCCCAAATGGCCAGAATGGCTGGGGTTATGCTAGGCCAAAGCTAGGAGCTTCATCCGGATCCCAAGCACTTGGGTCATCCTCCGATGCTTTTCCAAGCATATTAGCAGAGATGGACTGAAAGTGGAGCAGCCGGGACTTGAACTGTTGCACATATGGAATGCCGGCACCCTGAGCTGGCACTGTGCCAGCCTTTATTTGCAAGTCTTCACTGAAGAGCCAGGGCAGCTGCCTTGGGTCTCCATTGTGGCTAATGCCTAGACCACCCCAAGAAAGCTTATATGGCTGGGACCACCAGGAGTCTGGGTACTCTCTGCCAGGGCTAAATGCCCGACTGGACATGGCCAGCGGGTCCCAGTGTCCTCAATCCCCAACACCTCACCGGTCACCTTGTCCAGCCTTCATCCGTTGTAGATGTGGACTCGGGCACCTAGTGCCCAGTTTAACTTCGCGCTTTTTTTTTTTTTTCCTTTTAAAGGGTCGTTAAAATCTGAAGCAAAGAGGCCAAAGATTGGAAGCCCCGCCCTCCCAGCCCCTTCCAGAACTGCTTGGAACTATGGGAGAGATGAGCTGTGCGTGGGCTGGAAAGCAGTTCACTGTTACTGTAACGGACTGTATTATTTGTGAGATATTTCTATACATATTTAAGAAGTGTACACATATGTAATATAGGACAGAACATGGTAAAGTGATGTCGTCTGTCTGGGGGTTTCTTCCCTTCTGCCTTCTGTCCCTTACCCTCCCTCGCCCCTGGGAGCAGAAGGGGTGACAGAGGGAAAGGCCATCATAGGTTCCTCCCTGTTTGTGCATTGGCCCGAGTGCCACAACCAAGCTTAACGTAGTCTTCAGTTCCAGCATATGTTGCTGCTGCTTCAAGATTGTACAATTTACCTGTATAATTCTATGCAAATATGGCTTATGTGATAGGGTGGTTTTTGTAAAAGTTTCTGTTTAAACTATTTTAAATTTGCATATCACAACCCTGTGGTAGTTTGAAACGTTGCCGTTAACTTGCAGACACGCTATGCGTGATAATTTTTGTTGTTGAACGAGCAGATACAAAGAAAGCATGGTAATGCCAGTGGCTTCCTTAGGCATATGGCATGTGAACTCATGTACTGTATTGTAAGGGTTTTGGGGGGAGGGGGTGGTGCTGTTTGGTTTTTTTTTTTTTAATCTGTCTTTAGCCCTCTACTGCCCTAGTAGGTTGAAAAAGTCAGGATGCCCTTATCTAAGCTCTGTGCTGGCGAAGGGCTAGCTCACTCCAAACAACCACCTTGTCCTTTGCAAATAGCCCAAGATGACCCACCTCCCCAAGGTTATTGGTCACCGTCCGAAGCCCCAGCTTGGGGCCTTCGGTGTGGAGCTGACATACCTGCTCGTCTTGAGCTAAGTAGGGTGCCTGTGGCAGGCCCTCCCAAGGCCACAAGGGTGTACTACAAAATGAGAACAGCAGGATCGTGGCCCTCTGGTGATCAGTACACACACCCCATGATGTAAGAGCAGATTACTCCAGCTCCAGGTAGGAGTGACTGCCCTCTTCATCCCGGGCCTAGAATTACCCTCTCTCATTGGGACAGCTGAAGGGAGCTTTCTGGGTCTGCTTGCACCTGTAGGAAGTGTAGGCATCCAGTAGGGTGACCCCCACCCCAGGGTCCCGAGGCCTGGCCAGGAGGAGCCATGCAAGGGCTCTTCATCCTATCTTTATGTTACGGGTGCTCACCTGCCAAAGAGATGACCCCACCCCTCCTCTTGCCACTCTTCACGTGACAGCTGAGAGGGTACCACGGGCTTGCTCTCAGCCAGGCGTCAAGATTTGCTTCTGCATGGATTTTGCTCTCCTCCGAAGTCTGTATGTGCTCACCTCCTCTTAGCCAGAGAGCGGTGGATAGCCCGGAAGCGTTGGGCATCCAGCTGCCCTGGCTGAAGCCTGAAGCTGCCATGAGTACGGGGGCAGCTGATAGCTCTGCTCTGCATAGAGCCGGAAAGGTTGCCCCAGGACTGCCAGCAGTGTAGTGACCTCAGCCCTAACACTCGCCACCCCGCTATGAGATGCCGCCAGGAAGCTACTGTGGCCGGCTGCCAGGTGTGTGTGCCCTGGCCACCACCCCACTACCATCTCCGTGCCTACATGTCAACCGCACCATCTGCCTAACACCCAAGTCTGCTCTGAAAATGGAAGTCCTGCGTGGAGGGAGAGAGACATGGCGAGATTTTGAAGTCGGCTTCCCCTTCTGGGGCTGTGTATCCCAAACTCCTTTGCTGAACCCCACTCGTGTGGCAGGCCTCCCCACACACACTTTCTGCACAGTGTAGGACTTTTCCCCGCCAGACACCGTGACAAAGGGAGATCTCGGGGGGGCCGGCAGCCAAACCAGAACCCTTGCGCGTGTTCTTTCTCTTTTTTAAGGTAGTTTAATTTTGTCTGTCTTGTTTGTCCAATTTGGATGTTTTTTTTTTAATCTTTGCTGATATTTATAATTTTGTATCATAAGAAATGTTTTCCTACAGTATTTGTCATGCCAGTTTATAACAAAAAAAAATGCAGGGATTTTATTTCTATTGCAAACACTATTACAGCTATGTTTTACGTTTGAACAGAATTTTTTTATTTGTATAGAATGCTTACTAATGTTAAATAGTTCAGAATATATGACATTTACATTAAGGACTCATGCTAGGTTTTAGTGTATGGAGTTTAAAGGAAATAAATATTCAAACTGGGTCTCATTGTCTGCCAGTCTGGGTAGAGATGAGTTTTGTGTCATTTCAGTTACAAAGATAAAAGTATGCCATATAATTTATTTATATGAAAATTTATTTTTGTAGTGTACATAGTAGTCATCAAGCCTTTTGACAGAAGTATATTTTTAAAGAATTTATATGTGATGAATCCATAATGTCTGGAACTTGGCAGAGACACGAGTGGGGCCCACTTGCCACGGAAAATTCCAGCCAGGAGATTTCCTCTTCAACAGTGTTCCGAGAGTGAGAGCGAGTGGATATTCCATGCAATTGTGAAATGCTGATTCCCGTGTGACCTGGTGTGGTTCTCATTTTAAACCTCGGAAGGTGAAAATGTATAAACTCTCTAAATATTAATGTTCAAACACTGATAGAAGTTCTAACATGAATAAAAAATAATATAACGTGTTGGTTATGTCTTTGTTGATAGAATGCTTCTTGCGATAGCATACAGAGGCAGGCATGGTTTCAGGCCATTGTAAACTTTGTACTTGGATCTTGCCAGCCTCAAGTATTCGCAAAGACAGCCCTTTTTCTAATATCAAAAAGTTCCTAAGATATTGCTCAAAACTTAGCCCTTTTGGAGTTGGTGTTGTGGCATCGCAAATTAAGTTGCCACCTGCGACACCAGCGTGCCATACCAGAGCTTATTTGAGTCCCCACTGCTGCTCTGCTTCCAATCCAGCTCCCTGCTAACACACCTGGGAAGGCGGCAGAGGACGGCCGAAGCCCTTGGGTCCCTGCCCTCCCTAGGGGAGAACTGGATGGGATTCTAAGATCTTGCCTTTAACCTAACCCAGCCTTGACTTTTGTAGCCCTTTGGGGAGTTGAATCCTCAGATGGAAAATCTCACACGCACTCACTCTCTCTCTCTCTCTCTCATTATGCCTTTCAAATAAATAAATCCTTTTTAAAAAATATAACCCATCTGTTATCTCTTGGCATGCTTACTTATATGATGCCTGCTAATTAGAGGGAACATAAATAAAGCTAAATGCAGTGACTTAATGTAGGTGTCCTACTTCAAAACAACGTGACTGATCCTGTGGAACTGAGTGAACCTGAAACAAAATAGGTTTTCTACAACCCCTGGTAGCGTTCCGCTCTGTCCATCCAAACTTACAGCGTCTTTCCTTTGTCCTGTCTCTGTGTGTGAAAAGGCAGACCCTGGGAACAGCTGTACCCTGGGTTATGTGGTGGATTTTGTTAATATATAAATATTTATTTTAATTGGAAAGTCACATTTTAAAGGGAAGGAGAGACCGAGAGGAAGGTCTTCTGTCCACTGGCTCACTCCCCAGGCGGTCACGTTGGCCAATGTTGAGCCGATCCAAAGCCAGGAACTTCTTCCATGTTCTCACATAGGTGCAGGTCCCAAAGCTTTGGATAATCTGCTGCTTTCCCAGGCTATAAGCAAGGAGTAGAGCAGCCGGGACACGAACCGGCACCCATATGGGACCATGGCTCGTGTGAGGCAAGGATTTAGCCACTGAGCCATTGTACTGGGTCCATGTGTTATTTCTTAATTCAGCTTGGTGTTTGGTTATAGCTTTATCATAGTCCTGGAGACAGGCAAGAAAACATCACTCCCACCTTACCACTACATTTGGTAATAGATGAAGGACTCAAAGCCTAAATCTATGTAAACTCATGGGTCTTAAGAGAATAAGCTCCCTCCCAGACTAAATCCATCAGAACCCCTGGTAGGGAAGCCCAGGAATCTGTGTAGGAAGCGAGTGTGGCATTTCAGAGGCACCCAGCCAGACGTCTCCCAGCCAGACACAGCTATGGCTGTATAATTTGACTCCGCCTACACAGCCGAGTACAGGCCAGTTTCTGGAAACAACCTGGAGAGCTCAACTCCTGTGTGGTCTTCCCACAAAAAACACATGCTCCTCTGTGGGGAAAGAGTCAAGATGTGTGAACTTTGCGTCTGTCTGGGTGTACAGACAGGAATTCCCTCTGTAGAACTCTTGCCAGGGTTCTGCAGTGGCACTCAGGGAGTGGCAGTTCCCCATCTGATCCTCAAACCCAGCAGGG